AATAATATTTTAATAGTAAATTTTGCAAGAATTTATTTAATAAATATAGTAAATAAATTTATTATTTAATTTTAATTTAGTAAAAAATAATATAAATTAAGCTAAAATTAAAGATATTTATTTATTATCTAATATAATCAGAAAATAATTAAGATTTTTTGTCACAAATTGTATATTAAAAATTTCAAGATAATTAATTTTTAATTTAAAAAGTCATAGAAGTTTAAATATTTTTAATTATTATTATATTAATATTTATTAAAAAAGTTTATTAAAAATTATATTAATATTATTTTTAATTATTTTTTTAAATAAAAAAAATTAATTTTAAAAAATTAATTAAAAATATTTTATTATGAAATTTACTAATTAAAGTTTTATAAAAATATTATATAAAAAAATTTTAATTATATTTTTTAATATATAATAAATTTATTAAATTTTTATTAGAAATTTATTAAAATTTCTTATAATTTAATAAATAAACTTATTTAAAAATAATTTATAAAATAATTTATTAAAATTATTTTTAAAAATTTTTCAAATAATTTTTTAAAAAAGTAAATTTTAAAAATTTTTAAATTTTAATTTATAAGAGATATTATTAAGATTTTTATTAAATTATATTATTTTTTTATTAATTTTTATTTGATTTCAAAAAATAATTAAGTTTTTTTATTATTAATAATATATAATAATTATTAAAAATTATATAATAATAATTATAAATAATATAATACTTAATTTTTTATTAATTATAATTAATAAAAAATTAAAGTATTATATTATATTATTTATAATTATTACTATATATTAAAAAATTAAATTTATTAATAAATATAATAAAAATTAAATTAAAATTTTTTTATATATTAAAATTTATAATTTTATTAAGAAAAATTTTTGTTTTTATATTAAAATAAAGTTTATAATTTATAGATTAATATATAATTTATAGATTTTATCTAAAAGAATTATTTTAATTGCAAAAATTTTTTTAATTAAAATTGAAATTTAATTAGAAAAAATTTTATAATTAAAATAATATTTTTAGAAATAAATATTAAATTATAAACTTAATTTTAATATAAAAATAAAAGATATTTATTAATAAAATTATAAATTTTATATAAAATAAAAATAAAAATTTTTATTTTATATTTTATTAAAAAATTAATAATATAATATATTATTTTAATAATTACTATAATATAAATTAGTATCCAAATTTATTTACCTATTTTTTTTTTTGAAATTAAGTTATATATACTATATTAATAAAAATTGAGTTTTTATTCTTCAAGTATTTTTTTTCAAATTTGCTTTGATTTTTTAATAACTAAGAGATAAAAATACTTTATATAAAACAAATTATTTGCAAGAATAATTTTTTTAAAAAATCTTATTATTAGCATATTAAGACTTTTTCTCTTTATAAGAACATAATTATAAATTTTATAAGAATCAAGGTTTTTGTGCCTCAAACATATTTTTATAGAGAGATGTAACTGTATAATAAATTGATCACTTGTTCAAAAATAATTTTATGCTATAAAAAGGAGAATTTGTTGAGTTATTTAAAATTTTAGAATATTATAAAGTAATTAAATTATAAATTTATGTTTCAAATTGATTGCAAGACATTTACATATTATGAATATTCTCTATACTATAACTGTGTTAATAGACTCTATAATTGATGACATTAACTTATTTGTTCAAGAATCTCATTGTTATCTTAAATGAGTTGCTAATAACATGTTTATTTTTGTATAAATAATGTCATGAGATTGAAATATAATAATTTCGTTTTCAGAATTTTTTCAAAAATAACTATATTAATATTAATACAAAGAATGAAATTAAGGGTTCAGAATTGAAAATAGTTAATATAAATGCTAAAATAGTGTCTTTAAATTTGCACTATAACCGCAAATTTCCATGAAACTACTTAATTAAAACAACTACCTATTTCACCTTTTTTCCAATCACTTTCTAATGTTTCCACCATTTGAATAACCTCGTCGACTGTTCTCGGATGAACATCAGGTCGTTCGGCCCATTTCGCGCATTCATCCAACAATTTATCCAGTTCTTCATGTTTACCATCAACTATCATATTTTTCATTGATTTATTCGAATCTCTACGTTCTATGGACAGGAATTTGGTCGCTATTTCTTTTTCCTCGTCATAATTTCGTTGCTGTTGTCCTATTATATCTTCACAGCCAATTCGTGTTCCTCTATTTTTTATTCGATTTCGCACGCTTACACTTTCATCTTCACCCTCATTCTTTGTATGTCGTGATATGATAATTCGTAGTAATAATAGAAAAGTTATGATGAAGATTATTGCAACTATCGCAAATAATACTAGTAATATTAGGTAACGTTGTTTCATATTTTGTATTTGTGCGAGTACCAATAGCAGCAGAATTTTTATTGTTGTTTTGCTCTCAGCAGCAACAGAATTAAAATCTATAATTGTGAAATGATATTATTATTAATATAAGCGATTAAATCAATGTAATCAAGAATAAATTTTGGTAATTTGGAAATTTGAGAAGAACGACTTCGTTTTGGATACACATCGCATCCGTCTATTCATTCATTATCGGATATCGCTAACCTAAAACTAATTTCACATATGAAACTTACATTCTTGAAATTGATTAGTCGTTATTTAATAACTTTTTCTGTAATAGAAGTTGCGCATCCAAACTATTTTAAATGCTTGTTTTCATGAAGAATAATAGATAGATGATAATGGATAAAGTATTCAAATAAAGGTAATTCTTAGCAAAAGAGAATGAGAAATACTAAGGGTGATTTTGAAATAAAGTTAATAGAGGCTTCGCTGATGTTTTGTCGTTGCATATTTTTCATTTCTTAGCCACACACGTTATAAATGAACGTAATCAGGTAAATGTATTTGATAGACATAATTAATATACATGTACATGTTTTTTTGCGTAGTAAACATATTAGTCTCTAAATGGAAGAGATAACATGTCTGATGTAGTACTTTTCTAGTCTCATTTCCATCCTGTTTTTTAATTAATTATTAATAGGGTACCAAAAATGTGGCCGTTAATAAGGTGCTTTTATTATGTAACTTCTTTTATGCGCGAATTATCGTTATTTGTTTTTATTATGCGTATACCAAATATTAGAATGTATGCTAATTTTATCGATATGTACTACATGTATCATGAATGATTTTGTGAACAGATAAAGAATTGCACAGAAATTTTTATAAAAATATTCTTTATCGTTATAACTGCATCCAGCGAAAAATAAGGGGATGGCACAAATTACGTAATTTTTACTCCTCCTTTTTTTAATTAATTAATAAATATTAAGTTCAACTATTGGAATTTTCTCCCCCAATCAAATCAAGTATTTACCTAGCAAAGCTAATTTTAGATTTAAGTTATGCTATTTAACATTTCTTTATTCTTAGCTAAGAATTAACGGTTGTGAAAAATGAAAGAAAACAAAATCAATTCAACCAAAATTTTGCTCATAAAATGATTACATAATTTAAGCAAATGACGGACAATGCTTTTAAAAAGTGTATAACGTCATATTGACGCCATAATACGCCACAATATGCAAAAAAAATTGAGTAACGAAACAGTCGGAAAAAATCTATAAACTGCTTTTCCAGGCCCTCCGTTGTTATTCGGGGGACCTCGTTTCTGGGTATCTATCGAGCCTGGGATTTTTCGAGTATCTTTCCGCGATTCTACTAACGTATCCGTTAACGCTGACCACCAATTCCTGTCGCATTGCCTGATCGATCTCTTCTTTAGAAGTCGCTAGTTCCTACCTTAGGAGGTAATTATAATTTACCGTGTTAATATTTTTTTATTACAAGTATTAATTAATTTATTATTTCATAATTCTCTACAAGTCAACCTTCCTATAATGATATTTTTTATAACGGAATTTCTTTATAGCGACCAAATTTCCTAAAATGATTCATATATTAATATAAGAAAAGTGACCTATATGACGTTCTCTTTTAAGGACAAAATTAGCCTGGATATTTGATAACATTATAGAGCGAGTTGCTTTTATATTGTAATTCGTTCCTATCCAGATCCAGTCCATCACAATTTCCAGACTTTGATGCATTAGTTGGCGTTCATTGGTACATCCTTCTATCAGACCATTTTTACTTGGCAACCAGAAACATCACATTTCTAATATTACTAATTCCATGTGACTCGCAAGATTATGATCATTACCACGTGGATTTTGATCTATGGTGCTGATCATCTTAACTTGCCAATCACATGATTTTGTTTCAATTTTCCGAATGTAATGTAAAATAGCATAATATATAATGCAATCAATAATATTGTATGCATTATTTAATCACGTAATAATAATGATTAGTATATTATAAAACATCATGCAAACTATTTTGAATTTTTTATATTCTATTCTTATATATAGTAATTAGTATAAATATTTAAAATATTATAAATTACTATATAAAATATCTCTTTAATAAAATATCTCTTATATATTATATTTGGATATATATTAAAGATATTATTCCAAAAAATTAATTAAGATCTAGATCCATATTATATCTTAGTAAAAATTTGAATTTATTTAAACTAGTATTAATAAAAAAATTAAAAAATCTAATTATTAATTCCAATTATTAATATAACTAAGTTAATTAGCTTCATAAAACTTATTTTCTTGATTATTTTCTATATTTTTTTCTGAATTTAAAAATTTATCAATAGAATTTTTTTTATCTTTGCTAGATTCTTTATCATTATTATTACTAAATTCAGTAATTATATTAAAAAATTCTTAATTTTGTAATTCAACTTATTCATAATTAAAAATTAATTGATTTTCTTTTTCATCTTGAGAATTTGAAATATCACAAACTTTGAAAAATTTTTGAATAAGAAAAAAATTAACTCAGTTCTATGTATTATAAATCTATTAGATAATTAAATTATAAGATAAGTATTAAATTTAACTAGTTTTAGTATAGTTTTTAATATTATTAGATATTTATTTATTATAGTAATGATAAATTTATAAAAAATTTAAATAAATTTATGTAATTTTATATAATATATATAGTAATATGTGAAAGTATTCTATTATCTGTATCATATGAATATATATAATAATAATCTTTTAAATTTTTCTGAAAAAAGTGTAATATAATACATGATCATACATATTTTTATAGATTTATAAACTATTTTTAAAGAGATTAGATAAATTATCAAACTTTTTAACTTAAAATATAAAACTTTTACTTAAAAAATAATATGAAATTATCTTTTTATGTAAATATATAACTAGACCAAAGTGTAATTTTAGAAAAATAGTTAAACATATTTATTATAATAAGTCTATAATCATTTATTAAATAAACAAATATCATAAAAATTTGAATTTAAGTACTAATAAAAGATTAGATTGATCATATATTATAATAATAAAGTAAAATAAGCAAATTATAGATATAGTAAAGAAGAAATATAATATAATAATTATTAAAATTAAAAAAAATTAAACAAGTATAACATAAAGATTAGTATAAATACTATAAAATAATATCTTTATAAAGTTAAAAATAAATATTCTCATAAAATTCTCAAATTTTTATTTACAGATAATTATTAAAGAAAATAGTTAAAATAGGTAAAAAATAAAGATAAATAACTTAATTATTTATTTAAGTTATTATATTATCAATAACATTATTAGTTTTAGCTAATCAAATTTTAAATATTATATTATTATATAATTTTAAATAAATAACTTTAATTTTAAATATCT